CTGTGCCTCAGCTTCTTTGTATTCCTCTTCTCTAGTTTCTATTTACTGTCTCCTCCACCGTATCCAACCTGCTTTTAATACCCTCCATCGTGCTCTTCAATGACTGGATCTCTGACCTGAATTCATTCCTGAGTTCTTGGATGTCTTTCCATACCTCCATTAGAATGTTGATAATTTTTATTTTGAATTCCCTTTCAGGAAGAATCACGAGGTCCATATCATTTAAGTCTTTCTCGGGAGTTGTATTAATAATTTTACTCTGGACAAGGTTCCTTTGGTGTTTCATGTTTGTATATGGCGCCCTCTAATGTCCAGAAGCTCTATTCTGGAGCTGCTCAGCTCCTGAAGCAATGTCGGGGGTTGCAGGGGTGAGGAACTGGTACCTCGGGGGAGGTAAGAGCTGTTCCCCGCCTCCTGGCTCCTGTGCCTATCTCCACTGCCTGAGCCAGTGGGTGGTCACACAGGTATGTTTTTGTCCCAGAGCAGCTGGATATGGATCCCTACTTTGCACAAGCAGCTGGAATCCCAGTCTCCCCAGGAACTCTGCCTGTATTAACTTTCCAACCCGGTAGTCATGCAAGTCTCATGAAAGCACCATGAAATGAGTTAGGTATTCATCAGTCCCAAGCCTTCCACTCCCTCCCTGCTCTGTTTGTCTTCCTCCCGCCAGTGAGCTGGGGTGGGGGAGGGGCTCGGGTTCCGTGGAGCCACAGCTCTGGTACGTTACCCTTTTCGTTGAGGTCTGCTCTTTTCTCCATGTGTGTGCAGTCTGATGAGTCCTCTTTCCTGTTGCTCTCTCAGGATTAGTTGCAGCCAATTAAATTTTCTAATTGTATCCAGTTTTAGGAGGAAGCCTCTCTCTCTCCTCTCATGCCACCATCTTTAATCCCCTCACCCTTATCTTTTTATATCATTATTTCCATTTTTCTTTTGACACTCTTTCTTCTAATGTCCTTTCCTGACTACATAAATTGGATGTTTTAGCTCATTCATTTTCAGTCATATATTAATTTTATTATATGCAAAAAGGCTAACAATTTTCCTCTAAGAGAATACCTTTGGCTACACCCCACAGCTGTGATATGCAGTATCTTTTTTTCACTCAATTCTAAAAGTTTTTTGATTTTCATCATAATTTCTTCAATGGTTCATGAGTGGCAAGAAAGATGGTTTTAAATTTCTAAATATACATGATTTTTTGGAAGCTTAAATTCTAAGTTAATTGTACTGTGGTCCAAGAAGGTGATATGTAGGACATCAGTCTTTTGGTATTTGTTGAAACTCATGCTTTCAGGCATAGTGAGGTAACATAAATATTCTAGAAGTGCTTGAAAGAAATCTGAATTCTTAAATTGTTGGCCACAGGGTTCCATATATACATCCATTAGATCAAGATTATTAATTGTCATTCAACTCTTACTTTTTTGTTGCTTAATCTACCAATTCCTTGTAAATATGTAAAAATATTCCCTGTATGACTATAGATATGTGCATTTCCACTTGAAATTTTACTTTATATATTTTTGGACTACATTTTTAGAGACATATAAATTTGGAATGTTTATAGTTTCCTCTTTGTGTGTTACAAACAATACACAGTCATTTTTAACTTTAGTAATGTTTATTGCACTTAAATCTACTCTGTGTCATATTAATATAGCTATATCTACTTCGTTTTGGTGACTCTTTCCCTGACTCTTTCAATACCTTTGTTTTCAATCTTGTGGTTTAGGTATGTCTCTTATGGCAGCACAAAGCTAAACAACCTCTGCTTTTAAACTGGCTTTTAAATCCATCATGATTAATTTTCTGTACCAAAAAAAATATCTTTGCAAAGGTTATGATCTTTCAATTTCAGTATACCAATATTCATTCTAGTTCTTCAAAAAACCTCCCAGAACCTTCATGTCACACTTCTACCTAAAAATCTTAATTGCCTCTTTATGTTCTCAAGATTAAAATACAAATCCTTTTTCATAACGCACAAATCCATTTACAGTCTGGACCAAGCCTGTCTGACTTGCCTCATTTCCTCCTATACCTATCCATTTATAAAGACATAAAACTCTTTATTATTTTTCAGCAATGATGCTCTTTTATGCTTCCATGCCTCTGTACATGCTATCCAGATTGTGTCCATCCTCACTTACCTTGCGAAAGCAAAGTCAATGCCTTACCCTAAAAATCAGAGGGAACTAGTTGCTCTTCCTCTGTATTTTTTCTTAGCTATATATTATGAAGCTAGTCTTCATAATATTTTATTACTAACTTGTCTGAATTTCAGAACATTTAACCACACAGTTTAAACTTACAATAGCTATATTTATCCATGTTTATTATGAGGCAACTTACATTTCTTTTTTAATTTAATCACATCAAGACAAAATCATCTTGATTCAACAGATGAACAAACTAAAGTTCAAGAAGGTTAAATAGCTTGCTCAAGGTAACAAAGCCACTGAAAGGTAAAATCTGGCTGTTTGACTCCAAAACCTAAACATTTCCACTATGTAAATATTGCTTACCAATATTTACATAGATGCATATATCTTGCAACTGGAACTAAACCAAATGCTGCTGAGAAAATGTTCTTCCAAAACCATTTTAATGAAATATGACTTATAGCTGAGTTCTGAATGGTTTTTAGATATTTAAATGTACATGCAAACAAATGTTTAACCTATTTATAACTCTTCAAAAAATATTTTCTTTGTAACCTTATTTTTATCACAGCACAAATTTTTAAAATATATTTTTGTTGTAAAAGGAGATAAAAAATGAAGATTGTAATTTTACCTTGTGCAAAGGTCTTTATATTATCTATTAAAACATTTTACTTGAACTAAAAAATTTTTTGATCTTTATTAGTTTAAGAGTTAATTGACATTCAAAGTTAATGGTTCTGTGGTGAAAGCTACCTATAAAATTTCATCTTAAGACATGGTTTATACACAATAAATATTTTTACATCAATTATATATACATGAGGTTAGACACAACAACAGTTTCTCCTGAATTTATATAAGTCATGCAATTTAATTTCAGAAAAAAGTAAATATCATTACATTGATGATTATTATCAGGCTTTTAACAATCCCAATCCAGAATGCAACTAATAAAACACACACATGAAAAATTAAAAAGATTAATGGACAAAAAAGAAAATCAAGTTATTATACTGCCAAATTTCTGAAATTTTTTCTCTTCAAAATTAAGCTACAATTTTAAATAGGTAATACATTTTTCCCCCATACAAAACAATTATTTGCTTTAAAAACACATACCTCTTTCCTTGCTTACTTTGTTCAAGTAAGTCCACTTTCAACTTTATACATTGCTCTTGTGACTTCTGCAGACTCTGTTCCTTTTCAGTCATCATTTTCTGGCTCTGCTCTAATTTATCTTCTGCCTCTCTATAAAATAAAGGGTATTTTTAAATGGCTATTAAAGAGATTATTCCAGATATGCCAGGACAGTTCAACTTTAGGAATTCTATTAGTTTAAATCACTGAGTTAAGAGAAACAAATATTAATAAGAGATAGAGAAAAGGCATACTGATCACTTGTCAACTAAGAGTTTTTACAAGGAATAAAAGACTACTTCCATCAAATGATAAATATGCCTGAACAGCTTTTATCCTATTTCATGGTCAGATACTAGAAGCATTATCATATAGTTCAGAAACTAGATAAGAATGACTATTATCACCACTATATCCAATGATTTTTCTGACAGTTACAAAAGCAAAAATGAAAAAGTAGTAAGTATAAATATTGGAAAAGAAAAGACAGGTTTTTTTTCCTGATAATATCATTAGCTACCTAGAAAGTGTAGTGAGTCAAAATGAAAAATTACCAGAATTAATAAAAGGGTATGACAAATAGTCCAGTTACAATATAATTATACAAAAGCTGTAGCCTTCCTATATATTACCAATGAATAGAACAAGAACAAATTCACAACAACCAATGTAGTCCAAAAATATATAAAGTAAAATTTCAAGTGGAAATGCACATATCTATAGTCATACAGGGAATATTTTTACATATTTACAAGGAATTGGTAGATTAAGCAACAAAAAAGTAAGAGTTGAATGACAATTAATAATCTTGATCTAATGGATGTATATATGGAACCCTGTGGCCAACAATTTAAGAATTCAGATTTCTTTCAAGCACTTCTAGAATATTTATGTTACCTCACTATGCCAGAAAGCATGAGTTTCAACAAATACATAGGAATAAACTTAAAACATGCATAACAAAGAAAATTACACAATTCTGATGGTCATGAAAAATGACTTGAGCGTGCATCAGAACCATCTGACTTGTTAAAACACAGCTGGATCCCACTTCCCAAATTTTGTGATTCAGTACGTATGATAGAACCTGAGAGCTTCAATTCTAACAAGTTCCCAGGTGATACAAACACTGCTAGTCCCAAAGGCACACTTTGAGAATCACTAAAATGGAGTAATGTGCTCTATAGAATGCATATATTTCTCATTTTATTCAAAGCAGAGGGTAAATCATAAAGTGCCTAATTCTTTGAATTTTGTTTCTTCAATTCCCACTGAAGCATTAAGTATATATTACTACAGAGTGAATTCACTATATAAGTGAACTAGTTCATATTTAATAAGAGCACATAAATAAGCATCTTAGCTTGGATTTAATCTTTTTTAAAGATTAAATATATTGCATGATCCTACAGCCAAGAGGAGTTATGGTGACCTGACAACAGATTCATCAAGTTCTAAGACAGTCTATAGGCCACTGCAGATTCATTGGGGTGGAGGACAGATTTAACAAGATATATCAAAAAGTAGTAGGATATTAAAATTTGAAAGCAATAAAAAGTATATATACCTCAAAACTTTATGTTGGGCTGAAACTTCTGCTTCCAAATTTTTAATCTGTTCTTCTAAGATCAGCACATTGGCTGCCTGTTGTTGAGCAGATTCAAGCATAGAAACCTAAACAAAGGACAACTTTTAGACCACTTTCTTCAGAAAATAAATTAATCTACTTGGTCCTTAGTTTCTTTAACTGTCTGATAGGTAGTTCAATAGAACTCCCCAATTACTGGTCAAATAGGAAGTACATCCTATCTATTCACTTGATCACCATTTACATAGGTACACCACCATCACAAGCCAGTCTCAGCATGTAAGCTCCTGCCATTTCCCTCAACTTAATAACCCAAGATACTGGTCAACTACTCAGGAGAAAAAATCAAATCTCTATTGATACCATCTAGGAAGATAAATTTCACATAAATTAGAAAATTAAATATAAAAGACCAAATCATAAAACATTACATAAGAAAATAATTTTACATCTTTTTATGATTTAAAACCTAATTTTAGAATACATGCTTACTATAGAGAAAACTTAGAAAATAAAGAAAACCATAATTATCTTACAATCTGGATAATAAAAACAATGTAGCAGGATAGGAATCCACAACCTAAATGGTGTCTACTGGACAGTATCAATAAGAAAACTACCCCTGAAAAAAGGTGGCATGAGTTACAAAAGAGGCATGGATGAGGTCTGGGATACAAAACCTGGGATATACTGTTGACCCTTGAACATGTGTTTGAACTGCATGGGTCCACTTATACACATATTTTTTTTCAATACATTTATCAAAAATACTTTTTTGGAGATTTGTGACAATTTGAAAAAACATTTTCTTTTCAAAAAATGTTACTTTATTGTAAGAAAACAGTATATAATACATACAACATTAATATACACGTTAACTGACTATTTACATTATTGGCAAGGCTTCCCATCAACAGTAGGCTACTGGTAGGTAAATTTTGGAGAAGTCAAAAGTTATACATGGATTTTTGACTGCATGGGGGTCTGTACCCACAACACTTCTCAAGGATGAACTATAGTTGAAAATCTCTGTTAAGTCAAATGGGGGAAAACCCCATCCAGAACATCAACTGTCAGGTGGTGGCCTACCAGAAAGAAAAAGTTTATTATCTGGAGAAATTGGACAGCAAAGGTTTAGGATTCTAGGACACTACGTAGAATGATGAGAGTGGATAAGATATTATAAATAAAGGGATCAATACAAAATAGTCAGCTTCTAGCTTCCTACTCCATCTAAATTTGGGCTATCCCACAGATGGGAAACTAAGGATTTTTTTGCTGGAGAAACTCAACAGCTCCAAAGAAAAACAACTCACATACTGACATTGGATAGGGAACTATGGGAGTTTCCCTACAAAAGAACTATCTCCTCAACCATCACCAACAAATGAGGCCCATTAGATAACAAACTCCACATTTCCATACAGAGCTTCCAAACAGCATGTAAGTGCCTTTCCCTAAAATATAAACAGCTAAAATACTAACATCTGATAAAAGCTTCTAACATGAAAGCCAGAGGCCAAAACAAAAGAAAAAAGCAACTAGCAGCAACACAAGCACACACACACAAAAAAATTATTACATCTTTAGAGAGCTAATAGAGGATATACTGCACCAAGATATTATTAAATACGAAATAATCAAATAACATGAAAAAGCTCTCGAAATGAAAAAAATATGGCAGCCAAATGAAAGATTCAATAGAAATTTGGATAATGCTGAGAAAATCTCCTAAAGAAGAGTAACAGGAAGACAGGGAGATGGAAAATAACAGAAAAAGACTTAGAAGATTGAGAGGACCAATCCAGGGGATCCAAAATTCACCAACTAGGAAACACAGAAGAAAACAAAGAGATGAAATTGATCAGAGGTTACATAAGAAAAATTTCCAGGACCAAAGGGTACAAGATTCCAGCCTCAAAGGGTCCTCATGTACCCAGCACAATGAATAAAAGGTCTACTCAAAGACAAATCATTGTGAACTTTTAAAACACCAAGAGGGAAGATCCTAAAAACTATCATAAATGGAAAAAAAAGATAACATGCTAAGAGAGATTCACAGTGGTATTAGGCTTTTCAGAGAAGCACTAGAGAATAGAAGAAAGTAAAATCATAAAAGTTTTGAGTTAAAATATTTTTTGACCTATTTTTTCAAATAATATTTTTAAAGCGGGAGAAATTAAGACATTTCAGACAGGCAGGGACTGGAAAATAATATCAAATTAAAGAAAGTACACCACAAAAGAAGACATGAGATCCAGAAATCAGTAGATTCAACCTAGAATCACATCAGAGAGAAGTCCAAGGAGAGCAGCTGAATAGCAGGCCTGCAACACAGTAAGCTCAGAAAAAGCAGAATGTCAGGCTCCAGAAGTGTAATTACAAACACTGCCAAATGGTAAATTATGAATTTGATAGGTACAATAAGGAATATCAGCAAAAGATTTCCAACGATGGCATATATATGCAACAGTAAAACCTGAGGTCTGCCCTAGAAAAGGTAGTTGCCCTAAAAAAATATATTATTAACTTATCAATTTAGAAATTGCTGAGATGGCAAGTAAAATACAAATGATGTCTTTTTCTTATAGTTATTAATAAAACTTTTACTATCTCTTTGACTTTAGCCTCTAGGACTTAAAAGATAGCTATAGTATTTTGATAAAATTAAAAAATAAACAGAAAAAGTGAACAAATTATAAAGAAATCTAAACAACAAGCTGAAAAAAAAACTCATGAGAAATCAAGAAAAACAAATATTGTTTCCTCAAAAAAAATAAAGAATGTAGAAAAAAATCAGTACAATACTGAATGTAGACAGAGTGCAATAAATGACTGAAAAAATGTCTTTGCTGTGATTTATTTGGTCAGCCTAGAAATCTATCCTAGAAATAATCCCAAACACCAAAAAAGTTTATGTTCATTGCAGCATTTTTTACTCGTTAGACTGTACTCATCCCCAATAGCACTTCTTTGTTTTTTTTGAAAAATAAAGACCTCCCATAAATCTGCTACTTAAAACAATATGTCTATAATAATAAATAATGAAAGCCTCATTACAACCTTCTGATCCCTCTCAAAGTTATCAACAATAATGTGGAGCATAGTTGTTCTGTCCTTATATATGTCACACATTATGTCTATATATATATATAACATACACTTTGAATAAAAAGCAAAGCTTGAATCATTACGTGTGTGTTGCTCTGTAATGTTTTCTTACCACCAAGTATAGAAGGCAACAGTTTTTGAGTGCTATATGCAGACACTATTCTATCATTTAAACTTCACAAAGTTCCAAAAAAGCCAAACAACTTTATATCTTAGTACTGGTAAGTTTACCTCAAAAAAAAAAAATAGCTTTGTAGTAATCCATTATATCAATATATCATAAATTTACTTTATCAACCTTCTATTATTAAACAGTTTGTTTTCTAGTTTTTGATATAATACCAAGCATAGAGCAAAAAATAAGAAACCACTTTAATAGAGGAATTATTAAATTATGCTATAAACACATAAAGAAACATACTGCTGCGATTAAAAAATGATTATTGGAAAAGCTGGGTAAATGCTCAGAAAACACTTAGAGTATGTATTAAGTAAAAAATGCAGGAAAAAAGAAACTATTGAATTTGGATTTAACTGTAATACTCCAATAAGATAGCTTCTAAAATGTGGAAATCGGGTGATCTTCCTTCCTTTTCTTTTTCCTATTTTTAAAGTTTTTAACAATGAAAATGTATCATCTTAAAAAGCAAGATAAATAAGCTAGATAAAACCGCACAAAACCTATCTTAAGATCTTGAGAAGCTCTGACTTATCTAAATAAACACATTATACAAGTTCCTTAAATCATTTTCAGATATTAAATTCACAAAGTTGATTCTACAACATATCTAAATAAACACATTACAATAATGAATGTAGACAGAGTGCAATAAATGACTGAAAAAATAACTAGGTTATTAAACCTAGTCTCCTAATGTTCCCACGTGCATGTTATACAAGTTCCCCTAAATCATTTTCAGATATTAAATTCACATAAAGTTGATTCTACATTGATAAAATCATTATACATAACACCTTAAGGCAATACAAAGAATATTTTTCCAATTATAAACCTTAAAATGATTGCGATTATTTTTTGTAGGCATAGTCACCACTTCAAATAACATACTTTCACTCTTGATTGTGTTAATTCAAAGTGGGCAGACTCTACTTTAGTCATTAAAGAATGGTTCTGTGAGACCAAACAAGCATTCTGTTGCCTCAGTTTATTAAGTTTCTCGAGAAGACTCTTTATCTCCTGTTCCATGGAAGTACATGAAAAAGACATCTGAAAAATGAAAAGAACAATCTATTTTGGATTATTTCATTAAGCATTGCATGAAACTAATGGAAAATGATGAACTACCAATAAAACAAAACAACTAAGTAGCTTGGAAAATGAATTAAGATATTTAGTGAGTTTTGGTGAGGATCTGTGGGACAACCAGCACTCTCCACGTGTACATAACTAATACAGCTTCAAAACAAGAGTACACTTTGGAAAAGCTCTTGGTATTATTCAATAAAGGTAAACATGATGAGGCTCAACAAAATTACTCCTGGGTATAAATCTGATACAAACTTTCATACTTTTGCACCTGAAGATATAAAAATATTCATGGCTACACTGTCAATAAAAGACAATAGAAGGAAAGAAACCAAATGTCCACCAAGAATAAAATGGATAATGGATAATTTATTCTTTAAACTGTACAAATATTTATTTTATATTTTTTGAATATATATTTTACAATAAACTATTTTAATTTTTATGAAAGTTGAGGTTTTCAAACATGATTTTTCTAATTTTATTTTTTTGAATAAGTAATAAATTCACGCAATTCAAAAGTTAAAACTATATAAAGAAAAAGTACACACAGAAGTCTCGTTTTCATCTTTAGTAGATAGGCAACCATTTTTCTAAGTCTCTTGCTTATAAAGTTTTGTATAGCACCAAATACAGCAAAAAAATAGGAAACCATTTATATAGGAGAGTTACTAAGTTATGGTCTTATTAAACCTAGTCTCCTAATGTTCCCAGGTGCATATGTTAAGCAATACAAATTATCCACCTCCCCACTTCCTTATGCAAAAATAGCATACTATATGTATCATTCTGTACCTTTCATTTCTCACTTGAACAATATAGCCTAGCAATCTCTCCACAATCAACATAGTGAGAAACTCCATTCATTTTTTTCCCTCAGCTGCTGTTTCCACTGCCTGTTTATTCAACCAATCCCTTATTACTGGATAATTGAGTTACTTCTAATCTGTTATGACAAACAATGCCTGGTTTTGTACTTATGCAGGTATACCTGTAGTTTTCTAGAAATGGGATTTCCAAGTCAAGGGTAAAAGCATTTATGATTTTAGGAAACATTACCCAATACACCTCCTAAGGGTTGTATCATTTTCCTACCATCAAAGTAGGAATGCCTACTTCCCCCTAATTTCATATACAAAGTAAAGCATCAAGCAACTGGATGTTTAACAACCTGATAGGTAAGAAGTGGTACCTAACAATAGTTTCATTTTGAACTACTCTTATTATGAGTAAGACTGAACACCTTTTATTTGTTTTAAGATATTTTAATTTCCTTTCTCATAAATGCTTTTTGACAAGTTTTCTACTGGGTTATTGGTCTTTTTTTTAAGAGCTCTTTATATGTAGAAGAAATTACCTTTTTATCTTTAATAGGCATGATCAATATTTTTCCCCTCCAACTTGTCATTTGTCTTTTGATTTTGCTTAGGATAAAACACAATGATTTCAACTAAGGCATACACATAATAAAAAACAATCAGCAATCTGAATTAGGATAGAGATCAAATTTCCCAGTTACATAATCTTTATAGGCATGAAATTTGAATTCATTTTCTAAAATGTAGGCTCAGATACATTTACATAATGCATCTGTATCAGATCCTTAACAAAGAGAAAACCTCTCAATTTTCTGCTTTCTGAAGTGGAAGAGCAAATTTTTATCCAAAAAAAATTATGACATGCATATGCAACACATATGCAAGTTGTCAGTGGGATAACAAAGAACAGGAAGAAGAGAGCAGAAAGGGAGATTAAGGGGTTGAGTAAAGAAGAGGGGTAAACACAGGGAAACAGATAAGGTGATTGAGTAAGAAAGGTCAGGGAGAGAGAGTTTCATACCAGGGAAGATGTCTAAGATCATCCATAAAACTTAGGGGTAATGAAAAGATAACAGTGCCATGCTGTCACATAGCTCTTGATCCAGGTTAAACAGTAAGTATGCTTTAACCACTTAATAAGCAACTGATTAGCTATCATGTACACGGTATAGTGCTAAGATCAAGGGTGTTAGAAAACACATTTATTGCAAAAAGGTAGTAAATATAGAAGCTTTAAAATAGAGTAATACACCAAAATAATTACTATCTTATTAGTATGCAACAAGAACCATCATATTTAAATACAAAAAAGGCTGGAACGCTATACTAGGATTATGGAAAACAGGAATAAGGCATTTAAAGAAAAAACTCAAAATGTATTTAAGTAGACAGGCCTAAAAACAATAACCTTATCTCTTGGCTTTTTTTGGAAATCAGTACTGCTACTGGACATTTTACCATCTTTCTTATAGGGTGAATAATTCAAAAGTCCAAGTTGGCTAGGTTGAGAAAGATCTTCAAGAATGAGCCTTTGAGAGCTTGAGAGATTAGAGGCATAATCGGAATTTTCACTTGGACTAACACTAGAGAAAAAAACAAAAAATACATTTTAGCTCTTAGTACATTAGTTATTCACTTCAAATTTCTAAACATTAAATAAGAAATAAAGAAAAGCACCTGAAATAGTGCTAGAAATCATATTCACAGTTAAGACGTAAAGCAACATTTCAACAAAATTTTTAAATAAACCAGAATTAATTTTAAACTAACAATCTATGTATTTCTCAAGCCTCTAGGTGAGGATTGCTTAAATTCAAAAAAAACAGTCATAATAATAAGAGATTAATTAAGCTGGAGATTCTGGGAATAAAAGATGGTGGTACAGGAAGGCAAGGCAAAAACCTACTCCCAAAATCACATAGAACATGAAAATACAACTAGGCCTAAAATCGAACTGAAGACACAGAACGAACCACCTACATCTGGGGAAGAGAAGACCCTACAGAAAAGGGTACGGTGACAAAGCCACAATCCAGGGAGATGAAAGCCCTCCCTCAACCCCAGTCCACAAGCAGGAGGAAGAGGAATAGAGCAGAGAGGGAGTAGAAGCCCAGGACCCTAAACACCTGGCCCTGGAGATCTGCTCAGGGAACACAAGCCTGCTTTGCATGGTGCCTGGTGATTGGTGGGCCTGGCTGAGATCCCAGCTGCCTGTGGAGAACAGGCATGCTCTATACCAGCCCCCTTGAGAAAGAAAGCAGAGAGGGCAGTTTGAAAGACTTCCCAGCAGTGAAAGGGCTGCCATAGGGGCAAGGAGTGCACAGTGCTGTTTAGGAGAAAAGTGAGGTGGACAATACCTCCCCAGCCTGCCTTCAGGCCCCCACTGGCAACACAGCCTGGAGACTCCTCGCAGTGGCATGCAGCCTGCCAGCTGGCAGTGAAACCAAACTTTACTCTTAGGTAGGCAGGGTGAGAACCCCCAGCCTGCTCAGCCCTATTTTGGGCAAGCCAGGGAGCTGAGTGCAACAGTCAGCTCTTTCCTCCCAGCAGATAACAGTCCTGTTTGTCATTGCCCCTACCACAGCAGCAGGCTGGGTGGAGGGCAGCTCCACCTACTAGCGGCTCCAGAGAGTATTCTCCCCGCTTCCATGATCAGATACTGGCCCACACAGCCCTCCTGAAATCAGAACAAGAGCAAGGCAGACAGGCAACACACCCAGAGCATGCAAACACCTGGGGCTCCCACCCAGGAAATTGAGCTTCTGGGCACTAGAGGGCACTGCCTACACAAATCTACTATCCTATAAGAAACACTAAAAAAATGAGGAGACAGGAACTTGGCCCAAACAAAAATTCAACAACAAAAAACAGAAACAGGGTTTAGTGAAACTGAAATCACCAATATTCTTGATAAAGATTTCAAAATAAAAGTCATAAACATGAGCCAAGATGGCGGCGTGAGTATGACAGTGGTAATCTCCTCCCAAAAACATATGTATTTTTGAAAATACAACAAATACAACTATCCCAAAAAGAGAGACCAGAAGACACAGGACAACAGCCAGACTACATCCACACCTGCGAGAACCCAGCGCCTGGTGAAAGGGGTAAGATACAAGCCGCAGCCCGGCGGGACCTGAGG